TTGCTGACCCTTTATCACAGCTTTCAATACTCTAATTCTCCATATTTATTGAAAATTATCTTTTTCAGTAATGCGGGCTGGGCCGAGTCCCTTGCCCAGTCTGAGACTGTTTGATCATTCACATCAGCTGGCAAGCCCTTTCCTTCTTTTAAGGGCAAATATTTGCAGTTAGAATGTATGGACTGGGATGTTTGACAGCAGCAATATGCAAAATAGTGAATGGGCCTCAATAACTTACACTAGGCTAACTTTATGACAGGGTCCTACCAACAGAAAGCAGAATAGCAACACTATTAGCTTGCCTTCAGAACCCTAAATCCCCTGTAACTCACTGCTGCTCTGGTGGTTTCTATACTATCTGGATCAATGACTGTTTTTAATTAAGTTTTAGTACAACTGCTGTATTAGAAGTTAGTTAAGAGTGATGTAAAGCCACCTCCACAAAACACACACACACACTCTATCTTAACTGAGCTTTCAGCTGACAGGGCCCTATTAAGCACTTAAGGATGGTGAGACAATCAGATTGGTGGGTTGATTGATCCACGACTCTTAACCTCCTATTTTCCATAGAGAGAGCACCTCATGCTGTGGAAATAACTCTTCTTAGGCAATTTCATTGTAACTGCTGGACTGTTCCATGTTAAGGTTACAGAGGGAGAGAGAGCATTCCTAATGCTAATAAACTTTTATTTTGTTATTTCATTAGTTATTTTTGTGTTTGTCATAAATTCCTCAGGTGCCCTGAAGGTACCTTGAGTGGTGGTGTAGATAGGGTGACCTATTCATAGTTTGTCTACTGAATGACACACCTCTATCTAAAATAGTGATTTTGACATCATAGTATATATGTATCTGGATTTTTCTTATTAAAGTGCCCACTCAGATTCTGATGTCAGTCCCATGGCTGAGTTGTCCAGGACAATGAAGCTTCTTAACATCCATATATTATAAATGTACTGCCAAGCACTACCAGTGACAGAGATGGTGGCAGCCCATAAAAGCAATAGTGCCGGTCTCCTTGAAACCTGCACGTGGGGAAAGAGGGATGTGTGTGTCAGAGCTGGGTGGCTACCTCCAACAGTTAGAGCAAAACAGGGACAAATTGCACTGTCATTCTAGAAATGGGCCTTTATAGCCTCCAGTAGTCTATCAGCAGTGGAGAAGCTTGCAGTTGATTAGCCTTCCTGATGACTAATGTTTGACAGCTGGCTGCAAAGAGCCAAGGCATTCATGCTGCAGATTTCAATAATAATGCGGTTTAGCCTCTGCATCCAAAGCTGGAGTTCTTGTATTTACCCAAAATATCAGTGTCTGGGTATCTTCCTCCCCTCTTATGAACTGACACTGATTTTTCATTTGTCACTACTTTACTTGGGATAGGGGAAATAGTGTAATGACTTCTGAGTTCAAAGGAAGACGTACAATTAGATGGGCGAATGGGATTAATTCTTTTATAAGAGCTTAAAGCAACGAAAACTTTGGGGTGAGGTAATTAGCCCTTTTTTCAAAAATGTTTGAAATTGAAAAAATTTGAATGTTAAATGTCATCACTTCAGAATTTAAAAATCCTGTGTCCCTAGTTGGTTGAAAACCGCAAAAATTCCCTTTGTGCTTCTGTGATATACTGTTCTCTGTCTAAAAGACCCACCTTCTGTAAGCTCCAAAAGGAGAGCAATGGAATCACTGCCCTAGGTGCCAGAACATGTGAACCCTTCTCTCCCAAGGTAAATCATAGGATAAGAATACACAAGCCATTTAAACAAGCTTGCTGGGGCCACTTAGCTTTTAACACTACTAGAGTATCACTAGTTAGCCAACTTGCCCCCACTCACTGTGGGTTTTTGGTTTTAATCACCTTCAATTTTGTCTCAATCCAAGTCTTGCCGGAAGGAACCTTTGACAAGAAGTGACAAGCATGTTTTCAGTTGTCTATACTGCCACTTATTTAGTTTAATGTTTGACTAGCCACACTTTCTTTCTAATTAGGCCTGGATTCTCAAAGGTATTTACATGCCTGAATGAATTTCAATAGGAATTAGGTGCCAAATACCTTTTGACCATCTGGCCCTTAATGACTGCGTGCCCTTATGGGGTTCTAGGTTTGTGTCTGATACCAGGTTGAACTTGCTCATTTTATAAGTGAAAAGATTTTCCAACTGCTAGCCCAGCAATCCCAGATCGGGGATGTATGAGTCAAGATGGTTTATCTTCTAATACATCACCACCCACAAGAGGTTGTTCAGGTCACTGCATATAGTGCAGCCAATTGAGCCCATTGCTTTCAGAGGCATTATGCAATGTAACTGAGGCCAGACTTTGGGCCTGTAGTTGAAACTTGGTAAGCAATTCTAAAAGCATAAACAGGACTAGAATCCAGCCACTTTTAGGGTTGTTGAGGGTGCTCAGTGCCTTGCTAAGGTGGCCACACAGACCTAAAAAGGGTGTGGGAGGAGGGATTTTAAAAGTCATGAAGTCAATGGCTGGTAAGGAAGGTGCCATTTTCACATAGCCACTTTTCAGAGCAGAACAATAAATTTCCTTGTATTATGCTAGCCTTTCCAAACTTGCATATTGTTAGTGCTTTCTGTTTCTTACTGGTCTGTATGGTTTTATTGGTGAGTGTGAAAAGCAGCCATACTTCATACATAAGCAATAACTTACTATATAGCTTGCCTATAACTCATGGCTGATTGTACCAGGTATTGGTACTCTTTCCACTTTGTTTAAGATATGTGCCTTCAGCCACCTTGGGATTGCTGGTGTGCCAGGTAACTAGCCTCCTTGAAGGAAACATAGGGTAGCTCTACTAAAAGCTTGTTCCTTTCAGCTGCTTCAATATTTTTTGTAAACTTTCCTCCCTTAAGTTCTAACAGCATGGTGGGTGCTAGGTAAAGAGAGGCATTTTCCTATGAGCCAGCAGCTGATCTTGGCAAGAGATTCTAACTCAGCTGGTGCCTGCAGTTTCCATGGCAATGTTACCTTTTTTTCCCAGAGCTGTTACCCAGTTCTGTGAATAGAAAGGCAGCCAACAGCTGAGGCATTAAGACTTTCACAGCCATTTCTGCCAGGGGTTTGTAGGTGTTCTCTTCTAACCACTACCTGCAAGCTATAGGATACACATGGCTCCTACAGGTGGTTTTAAACTGTATACAAACTTAGTCTTCCTACTGTTTAATTGTAGAGTTTGAGCATTTCTAGGCTACAGCTACTACAACGGCATAGTAGTATAGACACTTCCTACAGGGAGGGAAGGGTTTTTTCTGTGTGTAGATGCAGTTAATCCATTTCTTCAAGATGTGGTAGCTAGGTGGGGGAAATAATTCTTTCTCCATAGCAGCAGTTAGGTCTACATAACTAAATTTTTCATAACATGGAGTAACAGCTAGGTCAAGCTAATTTTTAAGGATCAGGCCTCAGTTGAAGTGATTGTCTGAGTTCTGTCTATGCTGTTCAGTTTAGAATCATAGAATATTAGGGTTGGAAGGGATCGCAGGAGGTCATCTAGTCCAACCCCCTGCTCAAAGCTGGAGCAATCCCCGGACAGATTTTTACCCCAGTTCCCTAAATGGCCCCCTCAAGGATTGAATTTACAACCCTGGGTTTAGCAGGCCAATGCTCAAACCACTGAGTGATCCCTCCCCCTGAATAATATGGAATAAAGTTTACTCAGTTTAAGTATAAAGATTCGGTTTTAATTCTTTTATGTTCTTTATTCAGACTTGCTCATGTGCAAAGTCAGAAGCAAGGAAAATTACTACTGTAGCCTTAATTCTAACCAATGATTTGGCTCCATAGAGTATACGGAGCTGATCCTGCATTCTCTAAAGTTCATGGAAATTTTTGTATCATTATTGGAAGTGGGTCCACAGAGGGTAGAATAATTCAAGTTTTTACTGTTATCAGCTTTGGTTTAAGTTCACCAGGCATTACCACTGCTGTAGGATCACCCATTGACTAGAGTACTTTACATTTTAAATTCGGTTTTATGCTGCTATTCTAAATAATGTAACCTCCACTAGCTAAGACAAAACGAAGTAGACCCAGGTCCTCAGAGGGCTCTAGGCCCCCTCACCTGCATTCAAATCAGTGGGCTAGAAGTGCTGCCTATGTGCTCTGGGGCTTTAGCCCTTACAACCTGCTGAATGCAAACAGCAGGAAAGCACTGAACTAGGCTTTATGGGACAAACTACACAGGAATAAGAACAGGAGTACTTGTGGGATGTAGCCCACGAAAGCTTATGCTCAAATAAATTTGTTAGTCTCTAAGGTGCCACAAGTACTCCTGTTCTTTTTGCAGATACAGATGAACACGGCTGCTACTCTGAAACCTACACACGAATAATCAACCCTGCAGTGAACTGGAAGTGAAAACTGATAACGACTGACAGACCTGCTCCTACGGCTGCCCTCCCCTCTGTCCCCAGCCTGCTCACAGTCAGGGCCCCGGGCCCTCTGCCCGGCCATTTCCCCTGGAAGAGACAGCTGAGCAAAGTCCTCAGCTCGCTTTCGCTTCCGCTCCCTCCCCCAACCAGCTCCGGATTCACTTCACCCCACCCCCCGAGCCGGGGATCCCCCACTGGCTACTGCGCTCTCAGGACAGGCTCCGAGCTGGCGAGCGCTCGGCGGCACTGAGCTGGGCGCATTGTCGTCACCGACTCCCTAGTGCCCGCGAGCTCTGGTGGCGGCTCCCAGCCAGCCGGGCCGAGCACCGGGCGCAGCACCCAGTAGGGGACCGTTGCCAGGGCAGCGCCCAGGGGTGGCTTAGCGATTAACTGGACGCAGCTGAGAGGCCCGCGCCGGCCCCGCCCCCAGACGCCAGTGTTGGTAGGGGCGGGGCTCCCCGGCCTGAGGCGGAGGGACGCGCCCTCCGCGAGGGGCAGGGCTTTCTCTGGGGCGCCTTCTTGCTATTCGATCCTCTCTATGGTTCCTCCTCTAAGCTCTTCCGGGTCAGCTGGTAACCTTAGTAACTGACAACTTCCGATGAGCGGGACCTGGGGGTAGAGCGATGGCTGAGCCGAGACTCGGAGCCGAGCTGGTGAGGGGGGCCGGGGACCCTCAGGAACCCCCATCCTTGCTGGGACCCTGCTGCTGAGGCCCTCTTTCCTCTGACCCGCCCCCATGCGAGCTCCCTGAGGTGCGGCCCTGCACCCAGCTCCCCGCAGAGCCTCGAAGTCCCATTAGCCCCGCTCCTGCGGCAGAGGCCTTGGTTCCCGGGGCGCTACTGTGCACGGGGCTTTCGGCGCTCAGCGGGCGCGGGGCTGAAAAGACCAGGTCAAGCCTCGTCTGTAAGGAGGCTGCCCCCGCCCGCGACGTTAGCCATCGTGGGGCCGCGCTCGGCCTGGCTGCGCCTGGAAATTAGAATTCGTACCCAATCGAAGTGTCTCGATGCCCTTATGGAGGAGCCAGCCCAAGGGGTGGGAGGCGCAAAATGAGGGACCCTTACATGGGGGGTCGGGGTGGATCTCTCTGACTGGGAATGCTGGGGAGTGGGGGGGGGGGATGGGTGCAGATGCAACATTAGTACCTGTGATGCAACAACAGGGCAGCTGCACCAGTACTAATGCTGGTGTAAGCTCTGCTGGAGATACAGGGCTCTGGCATTCTCCCACCACCTTATCTAGATGATTTCCTAGCCCAGTGCTGAAAAGGGCCCAGGTGCACTATTGCTCTGATGGGGACGGTGACCTAAGCCTTGAGGTAAATGGGATACTGGGAGGAAATACAAGGAGGAGGGTGCAACAGAGGGTGCCTCCTGATTCATACTGAGAAAGCAAGTTAATCAGCTAGTTACCTTAGGTACAAAAGGAGCACTTAAAGATGATAAAGTCATTGCAGAGAAACTAACTGAATTCTTTGCTTCAGTCTTCATGGCTGAGGATGTTAGGGAGATTCCCAAACCTGAGCCATCCTTTGTAGGTGACAAATCTGAGGAATTGTCACAGATTGAAGTATCACTAGAGGAGGTTTTGGAATTAATTGATAAACTTAACAGTAACAAGTCACCAGGACCAGATGGCATTCACCCAAGAGTTCTGAAAGAACTCAAATGTGAAATTGCGGAACTATTAACTGTGGTTTGTAACCTGTCCTTTAAATCGGCTTCTGTACCCAGTGACTGAAAGATAGCTAATGTAACGCCAATATTTAAAAAGGGCTCTAGAGGTGATCCTGGCAATTACAGACCGGTAGGTCTAACGACAGTACCGGGCAAATTAGTTGAAACAATAGTAAAGAATAAAATTGTCAGACACATAGAAGAACATAACTTGTTGGGCAAAAGTCAACATGGTTTCTGTAAAGGGAAATCATGTCTTACTAATCTATTAGAGTTCTTTGAAGGGGTCAACAAACATTTGGACAAGGGGGATCCAGTGGACATAGTGTACTTAGATTTTCAGAAAGCCTTTGACAAGGTCCCTCACCAAAAGCTCTTGCGTAAATTAAGTTGTCATGCGATAAGAGAGAAGATCCTTTTATGGATTGAGAACTGGTTAAAAGACAGGGAACAAAGGGTAGCAATAAATGGTAAATTTTCAGACTGGAGGGGGGTAACTAGTGGTGTTCCCCAAGTGTCAGTCCTAGGACCAATCCTATTCAATTTATTCATAAATGATCTGGAGAAAGGGGTAAACAGTGAGGTGGCAAAGTTTGCAGATGATACTAAACTGCTCAAGATAGTTAGGACTAAAGCAGACTGTGAAGAACTTCAAAAAGATCTCACAAAACTAAGTGTTTGGGCAACAAAATGGCAAATGAAATTTAATGTGAATAAATGTAAAGTAATGCACATTGGAAAAATTAACCCCAACTATACATATAATATGATGGGGGGGGGGGGGGCTAATTTAGC